AGGGATAACACGGCGTAGCTCAGTGCGCCCCGTAGGCCTCGGGACCTGACTAATTTCTGGATCAGGCGATGCTAATGCTAGCCAGCTTGATAGAAAATTACAGTCCTGTGTTAAACTTTATGGCCGATTAGGAGTTAGGTACTAGTCGCCGTGTTTAAAGTGTGTTTCACTAAATATCCTCACAGCCTAGTCATTCCTCTTGGTATAAATTTAGGACGTTACAGTAGTGATGTTACGATGCTAACTTCGCCTCCATTTGTTGCTTGCGTGACGAGCTGCGATGCTTTTTCTAAAATAGGATCTACGATGTAAACGTTATCCCACGAGCCTCCTTGTTGCTAACGTTATCGATGGACGCGCGGCTCAAAGTAGCTAACATCCGGTTATTTCATTTTTTTTGCTTTCATGCCTTTAAATAGAAATTATAAATAATTATAAATGTCGCCACAACTGTTTGATGCCAGGAAATAGACGTAGCCTCGGTGGCGACAGTGGGTCATTGTGCTAGAGTCAATGAGTGAACCCGGGGCAGTCTAACGTGAATTACTGCACTGAAGCGAGTCATTATTTAGGCGTGATGAACTAAAGTTAAGGTGTTAACCGCCCGCATCGCTCCATTGATCTGCACTGACAGCTTCTTCTTTTTTTTTTACAATTTTTTTTTTTTTTTTTTTTTTAGGAAACGAGGCTTTCTGCCGACACGTCCTCATAGTTTCCAGTAACTATATTTGTCCCTGACGATCACATTTTCCACTCTATTGCAGACGTTCAACCAGTGACCAAAGACCCACGTTGTTAACCAGTTTTCAGCCTGGATTCAGACGCAGAAATGGACTCAAGCCTGGTCGAAGGAGGACTTAATGTCACCCTAACCATCAGGCTACTCATGCATGGGAAGGTGAGTTGTGACTGCATGCAATGTTTGATAATGAGTTTAAAAAGACCCGATTACATACATGTTTTTCCTCTCCCAGTGACCGTCGGGCTTGAGTTTATTGCTTCAACATGCATTTTTGTATTTCTTCTGCAGGAGGTTGGGAGCATCATTGGCAAGGTGAGTTGTTTTGCTGCCAGAATGATTCCTATCTACATCTTGTCCCTCTGTGTGTTTTGTAAATATTGTGCGTTTGTGCTTTCCTTACAGAAAGGAGAGTCTGTTAAGAAGATGAGAGAGGAGGTAAGGTTTTTTTATTTATTTTAGATGTAGGTAAACAAGAATAAATACATCCATAGTTTCCATGACCATGACTCATTCACCATATGATACCACTGTGACTGAAGATACTTCCTGTTTTGCTCCCCTGTCTGTGCAGAGTGGGGCTCGCATCAACATCTCGGAGGGGAACTGTCCGGAGAGGATCATCACCCTCGCGGGACCCACCACCTCTATTTTTAAAGCCTTCTCCATGATCATTGAGAAACTGGAGGAGGTTAGATTTTGCTCGTTGCATCTTAAAATCTGACACGTTGTAGCAACAGAATTGACACTTTGAAGTTGTCGTGTTTTTTTTCTTCCTAACTCTTCTTGTCAATCCCACCTTCCCTCCAGGACATTAGCACCTCAATGACTAACAGTACAGCCACCAGCAAACCACCGGTCACCATGCGCCTCGTCGTGCCTGCCAGCCAGTGTGGCTCACTCATTGGCAAGGGCGGCTGCAAGATCAAGGAAATCAGAGAGGTTTGTCGTCGTGTTTTTTTGTTTTGTAAAGTTTGTGTCTCATCCCTGATTGGTCCTAACTGTTGTTTCCGTTTTGTGGATGTGTCTTTGCAGTCAGCAGGAGCTCAGGTACAAGTAGCAGGGGACATGTTGCCCAACTCAACAGAGCGTGCCATCACTGTTGCAGGGACCCCACAGTCCATTATTGAGTGTGTCAAGCAGATCTGCGTTGTCATGCTTGAGGTACAGTGATGATGATTGTTAATGATACTCTTGATGCTTTATTGTTTTCTGTGTTTCTGTTGAAGTTACCTTGATTCTCAGTGGTGAATATTTCTGTGTTCTTAGTCTCCACCAAAGGGAGTGACCATCCCGTACAGACCCAAACCCTCAGGCTCTCCTGTCATCTTTGCAGGTGGTCAGGTAAACAACGTTTGTTTGTTCTTTAGATCTGTCGCTTGTTTTATTTGTCCCAGCAGGGTTCACGTTTTCGGGGTCAAATGTTTCCAGTTTTTACCGTGTGGGTGTGCATGCTCTCTGTAGCATGCCTGGCTCTGTTCTCGTAGCACAATTGGGACAGAGGACTGATGGATATTGAGTATACTTTGTGTGACACTGCCACGCCCTCCTAAATGCTGTCGTCTCCTTTGCAGGCATACGCTGTCCAAGGGCAGCACGCCATTCCACAGCCTGATGTAAGTGAAGGGCCCTCTGTAAGTGATCCAATATATTTGCGTCTTCGGAAAGCCATGCCACCTTCTTATTTCATCCCACTGACTCTTTATTTCTCCAACCCACCCCCACCCCACACTGCCTGATATCCATTTAACAATTCTAAACATTCTACTTATTTAACATGTTCATGATATATTTTTACCCCCCTTTTAGGCCAACTCATGAGTTCCATTTCATATTTTCCTCATCACTTTAACTGCTTACAAATAGAGAAATCATTTCAAAATTCCAGCTTTGACGCGTATTCTGGATTGTCCTCACTCGTGCTTTTGTTTGCTCTCTGCGTCCTTTCCTCCGTTGTTTTAACAGCTCACCAAACTTCACCAGCTGGCCATGCAGCAGAGCCCCTTCCCCATCGCACATAGCAACCAGGGCTTCCAGGGTAGGTGGACAGATTGAAAGAGGGAATACGATTTACTGTAGATTTATAATAATCCACCCAGTCAACACTCTCATGGGCTTTCTTTGCATTTCTTCAGCTGGGATGGATGCCTCTGCACAAACTGGCTCTCATGAGCTGACCATTCCAAACGATGTAAGTTGCATTTGAGTCCGTTCTGCTAATGTACTCTTTGTTCTTTGCTGTGAGACGCGATTGAAGCGGTTTATTTTCTTGCCGTTTGTGTTATCCCTTGTGTGTGGGAGATTGTGTGTTTTCACATATTCCTTCTTCTCCCTCAGCTCATTGGCTGCATCATTGGCCGTCAGGGCACAAAGATCAATGAGATCCGTTCGATGTCAGGGGCTCAGATCAAGATCGCCAACCCCGTGGAGGGTTCCACTGACAGACAGGTCACCATCACTGGCACCCATGCCAGTATCAGCCTGGCTGAGTACCTGATCAATGCCCGGTAAGAGGCTTTATGCCACTGCAACACATCATCACAGAGCAGCTAGTTTACACTGGAGCACAGCCATGTTTTAGGTCTCAACTGTTTACTTTGTATATGAAATAAGAAGTATTCTCTAGAGTGCAGTTTTTTCAACATATGTCAATTTCTACACCGTCGTTCTTATTGATCATCTGGAGAAGATGCTGGAGATCACGTACAGTAAAAACTGACCTTTCCGATACTTTGGTAACAATAACTTCACCAACTGTCTTGACAGTAAATTGACATCAAACCAGCGACAATATTTATTTTTAACTCGACACCTCCTGTTTCCCTTTCAAAATAAAAGCCCTCTAGTGTCGAGAGACTACCAGCGTTCAGTTGCTATGTATTCGTCTTGATATTTTTAAAGCTTGGAGCTATTGGGTACAGCCCGGAGAGGAAGTAAATGATAAAATATTTATCCTGCTCCTGACGTAATCCTTTTGGGCTGTGTTTTTGTTATTGCTGAATTGCAGATGGTAGCTCGTACCGCCCGTGTGAGCAGCTGCGTCTGACTATTAAAGCTCTGACTATTTTTTACTGTGTGACACACGCAGTTCACAGCAAAAATACAACAAAAATGCTCTTTTGACAGACTAGTGACATCAAACCAGCAACAATATTTATTTTATTTCAAAATAAAAGCCCTCCTGTGTCTTTCTATGGACGGAGCGACTACCGGCTTTTAATTTTTGGATCGCAGCAACGCCGTCTGTGAGCACTACTTGCGCGAGAGACGCAGCAGTTTAGCGAGGCAGCTGTCACGCGCTGCTCACGTGAGCAGAGAACATTCTGCAGGAAAATAAGATCTCGCCGAACTCGAACTGCCTGCTGAGCTGATAACAAGCAATGTGTCACATTTAAGCTTGCTGTGTGTGTGTTCACGTCAAACATTATTATTGTATTAACGCTTTCCTGTTTGTTGTCGCGCTCCTCAGGCTCTCTTCTGAAGCTACTGGACTCGCAGCCAACTGACATGGAGGATCTTCATCAGCACCTAACGTAACCCCTCCCCCTACTTTTTACCAAGAGGTCCCTTATTGAACTAAATGCAAAAACCAAGTACTATAAACTCACTGTTTTCTCCTCTGCTTTGGTTCGACACCTCCTCAGTTGTAATTACGCCATCATCATGATATTGGTATTTTATTTATTTATTATGTTTTTAAATTCCCTTTGCTTATAGTTTTTAAAAGACTTCCTTCTGTTGTATTTTTCCTTTTTATTTTACTGTATATCTGTATGATCTTCTTGATATAGGTAAACGTTTTAGAAAAATCTGAAAAGGCATAAATAATGTTTTTCTTATGTCAGATTTTTCTTAGAAAATGTAAAAAAAAAAAATGAAGAAAAAAAAGACACACTGTAACATTATAGATGGACTGTTCTCTCCCTTTTTAAATATCTATTTATTTTTTATTTAATACACAGCTGTGTGTAAGAGTAGAATTCATTGATATTTGCCATCTTCTATTTGAAGCTGTACTTCCTAAATGAGGCATTGTGGGTTTAACGGGTTCCGATGGGTGTAAATGATGTCCAGGTGAAGATGTATGCAGGAAAATACCTTTTTTTTTTTTTTTTTTAAGTCTGAAGGTAATTCATCCCTCGTTGAGTGCGTCAAAAGGAGAATTTTAAGCTACGTTTTGTCTCACCTCTAATTTGCTGAGTAATTGTTTTGTGTCATTCCTGTGTTTCCATCCGTTTTATTTCTCGATCAGGACTTTTTGGCATTGTTGTGTATTGGATTCTGATAAGGGTGGGTGGGCCTTGGTCACCAGGTGGGGGCCTGAATGAGAGGAAAATATTTTCTTTTCTCTGAAATTACTAAGACCATAGTAATGACGACGATGATGATGATGATGATAATAACATTGAAATGTTTGTTTTAAATAGAGAAAATATTTTTTTTAACTGCAGGGCTGGGGGAATGCTGCAAGGGGCAAAACTACAAGAGTTATTGGTCTTTATAAGTATATTATGCTGAGGTATTAAATTATGAACTAGAAGGAGAATTATAGAATTAACACTAGTTTCCTGCAATCCTTTTTTGCCTGGGTCAGATTTATTTTTTATTATTCTTTGCAGGATGAAGAAACTCAAGTTTTTGTGCACGTTTTCAAACTATTGTAGATCTGGGTGCAATTAAATTGTTGAAGAAATGAAATGCAGAAATAAAAAAGATGTGAAATGCTTAAACAATCCTTTTGTACGTATGTTTATGTGTTCATGAAGGCAGCTGACGGGACAACTAGATGACCCTGATGTCAAGCTCAGATTTATTAATAATCTCAAAATATGGTTCTCCCTTGTGGGGGGGATAATTGTTTTATATATAACATGGTTATGAACGTTGTAAATCAAGAAAAGACACTGGAATAGGTTGGACGTGCTTAAAGTCATTGAAAATAGTCATTTATTTCTCGTTCAGCTGTCTTCTTGGATGCAGCAACAGAACAAACTGCAGCTATGACACGGCCCGCCTTTTTAAATAAACATCACACTGGTTTTTTTTTTTAACCAATACATTATTTATTGTTGCTCATATTTTTCTTTTTGATATAATTCCTATGTTACAGGTACAATGTGCAATGCTGTATAAAAAGAAAACATTTCTATTTAAACCCAAAGGATACTTAGTGTTCTAGTAACCACCACAGAGAAGTGCTCTATTCCTCATCCGGCTATCAGCAGTCATCTTAAAGGGTAAACGGGACAGTCGAGGCTCTTATGAACATCATGAACTGCAGGAGTCCTTTTGGTTCTAAACTTAAAGGGGACTCCCACCCATTTTACACATGAAGACTTACAAAGTTGTAAAAAATCATTTTGTGGTTTTATACAACTAAACTGCCTCGTGTGATGTCATTTGAGTCGGCATCATTTTGGAGAAATGGAAAAATAAGAGGTGTGGAGTTAGAAAGAATTGGTCTTACACTCATCTCTGCCTAAAGCTATGTTAGCCGCTGCTAGCATAACTCAAACCGAATCGAATTGCATCGTGGGTAATGTAGGCGCTAGGTTTTGACCAGAAAGAAGAGTGTGTGGGTTAAAGATGACTATTTCTGGTTCTGCCCTTTTTTTTATTCTTAAACAGCTCGTCAGCAGTCTGACAATGTTATGGGAGTGCAATGCTAAATTGGCGGAGTACTCCTTTACTAGAGCACCAGCACCAGTGTTTGTTACCTATATAGTACCTTAGTTAGCAATGGTAGTGTCTGTCATTTCACATCCTACTAACAAAAACACAATCAAACAACAATTTCCAAACCATACAATGGCAAAAGTGCATTTTCTGAGTGAACCCAAAGGTCTCCCATCATATCATTCTTTGATAAGCTTTATAAAAAACCTCAATCATGTCTCATGTGTATTCGAAACTCAGTAGTAGGAGGGTTAAAAAAAATATCGTACCTACTGAGAATCCTAATTAAGCATCACGATCGACGTCTCGGTGAGATTTTCATTCCATTTTTTTTTTTTTCTTGAGTGCTGACATTTATTAACAAAAAACAAAGTAACTGAAGTAATACTTTCAGGATTAAAAAAGTGTAAACTTTCACAAAATATAAAACTGACACATTCGAATCATAAATGATAAACATGTAGTCATGCATTTGTTCACAGGGCTGCATACCGTTTAGTCTTACATTTTTATCTTACAAATAAAATAAAGTTAGATATTTCTCATGTGGTATGTAATGGATATTTACATTATTATTCATTAGTATTTGATGCATTAGTGTGTGGAGTATCATGGAGGATGCTCCCAGAGTGAGGATTAGTGTTTAAAGGACAACAAGTGTGGTACCTTGTGCGTGCGTGTGCGTCTGTGGAAGGGTTTTTGCCGAACTGGAGCAGTGGCTAAGTTTACCTCAGTAACTATCTTGCCTGAAACAAAAACCCTACTGATCTTAAATGACATTTATCTGATGTCACAAGCTGCCAAAATATCTGATGTCAGGTTATGACAAATGTCCTATGTCATCTGGCGTAGGTTTGCCAGCCAACAAACTTATGAGACACCATAAGTCCACTTGTCATAGTCTGAGTGGTGTAGTAGGTGTGATCCCTCATGACAACAGTAATGTACTGCATTACTAGTAGCTTGAGGTATTGGCTAGCAGCCAGTGATCTATGGAGGTCCTGTAGCGGGGGCCTGTGGAGACACCCACACTCCAGCACTGGGGGGACGACTCAGCTCTCCACTACCCGACTGATCCAGCTCTGCACTGTCGCAGTCAGAGTCATCACACATGGCCCGACTCTACAGAGAGAGAGAGAGAGAGAGAGAGAGAGAGAGAGAGGAAGGGAGGCAGAATAAAAATGTTATTCATCACCGGCAGCAGACATCAAGTGTTTTTGGCAGAATTAGGATCCTTTACTTGAGTAAAAGTATCAATGTAACAATGTAAAAATACTCCATTACAAGTCCTGCATCCTATTATTATTATTTATTATTATTATTATTGTCAGCTAAATGTGCTCAAACTTAAAAAGTAAAAGCAATCATTAAAATGTCCTGTGACTGTTATAATATCATATAAGACATTATGACGTTATTTGATTTTTAATATTGATGTAACGATGTGTAATCAACATTTTTACTGTTGAAGCAGGTCGAGGTGTAACTAGTTAATCTTCTTTAGTTTTGTCCAACATAAGGTTCGGGCCCCTTGTAAGGGTTTGTGATGGTTCCCTGCCATGTTACTGGTTTGTGTGTGTGTGTCCCTTTAATGGCAGGATCCCGGAGATTGCAAACTGGAGACACCTGGGCCAGTGCTCGAGAATAAAGCTCCGCCTTCCTGGCAACATGGGCGCTCTCCTATCACCCCGTGGAGGAACGAGGATGGCTCGTTCCAACCACCGGTTGTCGTTAGATGTCTTGTTTATGTTTAATAAAACTCTTTGCTTTTGGTAAACTGTCTGCGTCTCCTTGATTAGGTCATGGCTGTCAGAGCCAGGTCGTGACAGGGTCCCAAGATAAATCTGAGGGGTCGTGAGATAATTAATGGTTTAAGAAAGAAGACTAAGTTCTGTTCCACAAATCTTTTTTCTTTTCTGACTTCTCGCTTATCTTTCCTGTTTTTTTAAATTAATAGATCATTTTTCCTCTTTATGCCTCAAACTGTTATTTTAATGAAACCGTCATAGACATCAAACGTGGCAAAGGGGCACAACCAGACACTGTTTCTTGTAGGGGTCCGAGAGGTTGGAAATCACTAGTTTAATCTTTAACAATTCATTGTATTTAAAGTCAAAAGTCCAAAAGAAATTCTCTGAAATGTGGATAAAGTAACATCACATGGACATAATCATTAAAGTACAAGTAGGCCTACCTTCAATATTCAACGTAAGTACAGTTATTGAGTAAATGTACTGAAGTGAATCTACATCCGTCTAAGAAGATGACACAAACTGAGAGATTTTTACCTCACTAGGATTCTGCCCGACGTCCAGCTGAGCTTTGGCCTGTCCCGGCGATCCGTCTCTCTCCGACATGCCGTCGGAAGCCTGTGCCGGATCAATGTTGTCCGCCGGGATCTCCGACCCCTGAGAGAGGAGGTCGTCGCTGCGGTCGTCCAACCTGTCGTCCAACCTGTCGTCTGTGTTGGTGCTGACCACGTCGGGGGTGCCGCTGTGAGAGTGGTCAGTAGTGTGGCCCTCCTCGCCGTCCGACACCGACAGGTTCTCTGAGCTGAAGGTGGACACTGACTGGCACTTGGTGATGCTCGTCGGACGTCTGAAAGAGATTCAAAACAAACCAAAACGTTTGTTTGTTTGTTTTTTCAACCACAGAATTGAGGCTGTAAAAGAATGACGCAAATCAAAAATGTATTCTTTGTTCTGTGAATGAATCAGAAGCTCTGTCAGAGAGCGGAAACATGGCTCGAGGATATTTTCCAGAGACGAAGGACAGCAAGTTACTCACCGTCTCCGTGGTAACTCAACCTCACTGTCAACTTCCCCCTCCTCCTCTTCTGATGACACTCCACGCCTCTGTAGTCAGAATGAGGAAAGATGAACCAGTGAAAAATGATCAAAGTATTACCAGAGGAAAGTGAACAGATGTCCGGCTCCGTACCTGTTTGCGTGAGATAGCTGCCCTGTACAGAATGGCTGAAGGAGTGAGGTGCTGACTCCCGATCCCTCCAGACGCCCCGCGGGGCAACCTCACAGCCCCGGCTCCCTCCTCTTTATCCTCCCCATCATGAGGCAGGCGAGGAGATCCCAGAGAGCCCCGCCCCGCCGCCGCCCCCCTCCCGCACGGCGAGTCCGGGCTGCTGGAGAACGGGAACGACGCCGCATCCTCGCTCGGCGTGTCACTGCGTGGAGGGGTTTCTGTGAGGTCATCTAGACCAGCTGCCCCCGCCTCTGATCTCCCTAACCCCGCAGATGCGCTGAGGCTGCCCCCTCTCTCCAGCCCGCCCACAGAGGGCTCCCCTTTTCCCTGCCCCTCGGCCTCCAGTGTGGTGCAGATGAGGTCAGGGCTGGAGGAGGACAGCTGCCTCTGCTGCTGCTCATGGCTGAGGCCCCGCAGCGCTGCAGAGGGCTCCAGGAGCTGCTTGGAGGTATTAGTGGTTGAACTGTTAGCCTGGGCAGTTGTGTCCCTTTTCGAGGAGGACTGATTTGCCTTAAGTCCAGCCAGGTCCCCACTGCTGCCCTTCCCGGGCTTGCGATGGCGGGTCTTTACCCTCCGAGACCGGCTGGGAGAAGTGGAGCTTCTGTTGGGGCAGGCTGGTATAGTGACTTGCATCACAGAGGAGTCCATTTTGGGAATGATTACCTCAGACTTGAGGATGTCTGGCCTGGAAGAGTAGGAGGGATTAGTCAACAACTACAATCCACAAGAATATTCATTTCAGTATCAATCTTTCATCAAATAATGACTGAAATGAGATCTCACACCTCTTTCCTGAAGGCAGTTTCTGTGGGACATTTCTCTTCTTGATGAGTTTGTCCATGGTGTTGGAGGAGCTGGTCTGCCTGGAGCTGTGATGCTTAAACAAACCTGGATACTTTTTATCCAAAGACTGCTCTCTCCTGAAAGAAGAAGTACCCAAAGACACTAACGTGTAACACATTGTGGCTTATTCATTTGAAAACGAATGTGCACCCTGTGTTCGCGGATCTATTTGTACCTCTGCAACTCTTTCTCTTTGAGCTCCAGCTGCAGCATGACAGCACTGAGCTCCATGTAAAGGTTGTTAGCTCTATCCAGCTTCCTCTCGTAATGCTCGCGAATGTCCAAAGCATGCCTGAGAAGAAAAGAGGCTGCTGATGTCATTGTGCATCCACATGAGGGACTCCAAATCCTCCACAAAAGACGTGCACTCAAGGCTCTCATTCCATCCACATGGGCGGACAAAGGAGCGACATCGAGAAATGGGACGGAGTGAAAGTGGCCTCAAACATGTCAGCTAACCTAGCAAAACTACCATCGTCCCCTGGTTGCAACTAAGCTGACTACGTATGGGAGATATAAATAAAACAAAAAACAGACCTGAGCTCCTCTCTGCGTCGGTTGATCAGCTCCTCATCGAGTCGGTGGATACAAGTCCCCTCAGATTTAATCTTCTCAAAGTGCTGTTTCACCTCTTCTCGCCATTCAGCCTGATGAGAGCACATTTCTGTTAACCAGCTCCGTCTCGCCAGAGCTGACTTTAAAAACCAATCCTCTTTTGCAAACAACAGTTAAAGTCTGATTACTGGGCAAGCATGTGTGGGCGCATGTGTATTTGTGTCTGTTTGTGAGCACCGTGTCCGTATATTTAGATGTTTTGTCTGTGTGTCTTTTTGGTGCAGCTGCAGAACATCCATATTCAGACGGGGATTGGGAAGAAGTAACCGTACCTGAGACTTGAAGTACGTCTCTTGTGGAGTGGACAGCACGTCAGCTGACGCTATATCCAGATGAAGAAGGATCTGACGGAAAGAGGGCCTGTTCCTTGGCTTACAGTTCCTGCAAAAACCAAGATGAGAAAGAGAGCTGTGTACATTTACAACGCACTGTAAAATCAATAAAGTCCTTAAAACAGAGACTAACGTCTCCATGCGCGTCTGCTCTCAACCCTCGCTTTTACTGCTCTGATCTGCTCATTTTCTGCCTCTCTTGTCCTCTCTTCCCCGCTGTGCTCATTATTTTTCACCCACCAGCACTGTCTGAGGAGGATCTTGAAGCCGTCGGGGCAGCTCTCAGGTATGGGCAGCTGGAGGCTGTTGTTTCCCACTCCCCAGATGATGGCAGATGAGTCCACGTCTTTGTAAGGGACCTCTCCAGTTAGCATCTCCCACAGCACCACTCCGAAGGACCTTGAAGTTAAGTCAAGCTTTATTCATTCGGGAAGTCTCACTGAGGTCAAGACCTCTTTAACAAAAGAGATTGGAGAAAAAAATAACTATACACACGCAGTCTTTGAATCAGTGAAATAACAAACTATTAACTCACAATGTTGATACAGTATCTGCTATCCTATAGGGAAGTCTTTGTGCTGATGTATTTGAAAGCTAGAAATGTCACTTATAGTCAGACTTACCAGATGTCCACCTTTTCCGACACTGGCTCATTCCGAATTACTTCAGGAGCCATCCAAGCTACGGTGCCGGCGAATGACATCTTGGTGCTCTTGTCACTGAGCTCTTTTGAGGTGCCGAAGTCTGAGATCTTCACCAGGTCATCGTGTGTGATCAGCATGCTGCAAAGAGGAGATTACATGGAAAGAGTTAGGAATGAAACTTCCAGGTCTTGTGTTGTCTGAGTTTATCGTTAAGCCAGCTGTGTTGAGTCTGTTGACTTACTTGGGGGACTTGAGGTCTCGATGGATGATTTTGTGGAGGTGCAGGTAGTTCATGCCACCTGCGATGCCCATGGACCAGTCAACCATGAGGGAGGGGGTGATTTTGCGGCCCGCCCTCAGCACCTCATACAGCTGGCCTTGGGCACAGTATTCCATCAAGATACAGTAACAAGGAGCCTGGGTGCACACGCCCCTGAGAGGAAGCACGGCAGTCAGATGACATGATGCACGGGTGAACAGAAAGGGAGAGCACGAGAGATTTATGCAGCTAAATGATACGAGAGACCCTGTAGGATATCGTGTGTTTCCTCACTTGAAAGTGATGATGTTGGGGTGCTTGAGTTTGCGGAGGTGTTTGATCTCAGTCTCTTTGATGTCCCGCACTTTCTTCACAGCCACGTCGTCTCCGTGGAACTTGCCGAGGAAGACGGCCCCCTGTGCCCCGCTGCCCACCCACTGCAGGTCGGAGATTTCCTCAAAAGGAACCTCCCAGGACTCTAAACTCAGACCAACAAGTCCACAGGAAAGAAACTCAATGAATAAAGGAGAAAGCCTGAAGTGTTACACAGAATTAACACGGGCGATGAAACTGTTTTCAGTAACACCCTTTAAGCACTTCATTTATATCCATCACACATTGCAAAGCCTCCAAATGTGAATAAGCACTCGACCCAGTTTGGGCAGTGAGGAGTCAGAGGGGTTTGCTGAGCAAATGCTAAGTCCATGCAACACATTAGAACGGGCTGACAGGACACAATTACATCCCACAAAGTGCCTGCCATGTTCAAACAAATGGTACATTGATAACTTCCAGTAGAGCATTACATTTCTATCCAGAGATAAGAGAAGAATTGAGGGAGAAACAACAATCCAGTCATAGTCTAATGTGTCTGTCGTCTGTCACACTGACACGACTTTAGCGACTGCGAGAGCATGGTCACTAAAGAAAGACGAGCTGGGCGGAGTAAAAGAGACAGGCAGATCAATTCTTCATGAAGTCCACTGAAGTCTGGAGATCTCTGGAGAGCTGCTGCAGCAGAGGCAGATGCACATGATGCTTCCTGCTGGCCAGCTGTGAAAACTCCCTGCTGCATGATGACTGGTGAATGAACCGGGCTGATGGACCCGAGAACGCAGTGGTGGCAGTCAGACAGCAATGAAAATAATGGCTACTATTGTTGGAAAATAAGAGAGTAAATTTACTCAAGTACGATTTGAAATACTGTACTTGTATTTCCTTTTATCTGCTACTTAACACTTTAACAATATATAACTGAGTGAAATATTGTAGTTGTATCTGACTGACAAGTTACTGGTTACTTTTCAGATTTCGCTAAGTAATATGATACATTTATAAATAATTGTCTGAGGCCCAAATATGCCAAATCATCCAAAATTTAACAGCAACAAAAATAGCGAAGATCATCGAAAAGTCTAAAATATTAATAAAAATGTTTTCCCTTCTTCCGTACTGCATTAATCATCTCACCGGTCCTCAGATTTATCTCGAGACCCTTTGAAGGTCCCCGATCCCTAGATTGGGAGCCAGTGGACTAAGCTACCTGTTAATAAACTATCTACACCTCTAACAGCTACGTGTGCATCACAAACACATGTACTATAAAATAATATATCTGTCACAGGTGCAATTGTTTCTGCGAGACTAATACTTTTACTTTTGTTACTTTGAGTACATTTTGCAAATAATAATTCTGTGCTTTTACTGAGGTAGGCTTTTAAATGCAGGACTTTAAAATGTAATGGTATTTGTTTGAATGTTGTGTTGGTATTTTAAGTTAAATAAAGGATCTGAGTACTTCTTCAACCACTGTGGATTTCAAACTTCATCCATGAGCTCAGATATTTATTCTCTGTGGTGCTTCTCAATGGTAACACAGGCACCACAATAATTAGATATATGATATTAAAAACAGAGCAGAGGGCCGGATAGCATAGGTGGAACATTTACTGTCACGTACCTTCATGGCTATGTTTGTGTTCAGTGGAGTAGGCCTTTCCAATCATGGTCCAGACTGGTTTCAGGCAGCCAAACAGTCCCTCCAAAAAACCTCCACTTCCTGATTGTAGCCGAATGCTGTCCGACTGGCTCCGGACAGCACCAGCCTCTGGACTGTGCCCGGCCTCGGCGCCGCCGCCACACTGGCAGGCCTCATGTTCATGTAGTTTTAGCACACTGTTGTCAAAGTGGGCTGAGGGTCCATCACTGGGAGTGGGGCTGCTGCCACTCGGCGCCCCCGGTCCACCGGTGTCGATGGACAGCACGTTACGGAGGACACACTGTGTGGGGGTCAGGTCCGTTTCGGGGGTGCAGGCAGGGGTGTCTCCATCGATTCTTCGATAGGGGGGTTCTGAGATGGGGGTGCTGAAGCCTGACAGGGAGGGGGAAGGGGCACGGGGCTCATGGATACAGGTCCCACTCATTAGGGGTTTCCCCAACACGGCAGGTTAGGGTGGATGGAGGATGGAAAGATGAGACGTAAGCCTGAAGAGAGAAGATTTATGATAAGAAATGCATTAGAATTATTTATAATCGTGATCAGGTGTATAAATGCTTTTCAACATAAAAACAAGTGAAGGGTCATTTCAGCACTGGACAGCTCTATTGCAGTGTGGAGCTGTCCAGTGCTGAAATGACTGATCCCTTTACTTCTACTGTTATTTCATCCCATCAATGCAAAACACCAAAACAGTGGAGTCCTACCGTGAATTGGGCATCCAGCCAGTCCCCCAGTTTAACTACTCCATTCCCACAACCGGATTCTGTCTGAATCATGCAGCAAAAACCTCTTCTCTGTGCCTATGAATGGGAAACCCAGGCTGCCCAGTGGAGCCATCACCCAGTGGAGATGGGCTTTATGAATGAATCTACCAGAGGAGGTTGTGCAGTCCACAGCCCACGCTGTCACCTGTTCTTTAACCGTCCCTCTGAGGGGCATCAGTGTCTGACAACATCAGAGCAAAGCTACTCAGCAGCTCCCATATGTCGTTCGTCATGCATCAAGTAAAGAGCATTGTGTGCATCTGGGAAAAAAAAATTACGAATTGCATAACCTCCTCAGTGTGGATGTGTACGTCCAAGCGTGCGTGCCTGCATGTGTGAAAGAGAGTGACTTGGAGGGAGGGAGAGGGAGAGAGGGAGAGAGAGAGAGAGAGAGAGAGAGAGAGAGAGAGAGAGAGAGAGAGCACATGTACCCAATTCACATATTTTACACCAGCTCCATTTCTTGTAGGCTACTGCACCACTGCGCGAGAAGAGCCACGACGAAATGAGAGCGTGAAGAAACGGGCAATAAACAACCACCGGCCCCGTGCGAATGAGCACTGCACACACACACACACACACACACACACACAAACGCAGGAAGATCAATCTTTAAATAACCGAGGATGTGATGATGACACTCAGCAGCATCATAACCGACGTGCATGAATTGCAAGCCCGATGCCTACTATACACTCCATGCCAAGTAAAAATGCCGCAGCGTCTCAACATGTACTCAACGTTGGCATCAACACAGATATTTCGTACTGTGGGCTTTCTCGCTGCACAAATATGATTTTCTAGCATTCATCGACGGTGATCCGTTTCTTGGCAGCATCAGTTCGTTGGTGCAGTGTGAGCTGCGTGAACGCAACGGCACCAAGCGACGGCATCATACTTTGAGGTCCCGAGATACCTGATTTCTAAGTTAATAAGCATTTAACCGGATAGTATGACATTCCCATACCTTTCTGCCTGGTTGATGTCGCGTTGTCAAGTGAAAGGGTGGGCTCGGCTTTCCTATTTTGTCGGTGATAACGAACAAATCGTTGTTATTCTTCGGTGCGGGCTGTCTACCGTAGCTCCAGTCACTATATCCACGAGGTTCACCGCACTGGGATGGATTCCATCGGGGAAAATTGTGTTATCAATAACCGGGGACCAATGCAACGTGAGGCGCGCTGGGTTTTTTTTTGGGGGGGGGGGGGGAGCTGTCTCCTTCCCAGTGCTGAATTGACGTCACGGAAATGCGAGTTAACCCGCGAGGGGGCGCTGCCACTGCCCTTTGTAAACACACACACAGACACACACACACACGCACATACACACACACACCACACACACACACACACACACACACACACACACACACACACACACAC